TTGCTGTTGTCATGGGTACTAGTGCATTTTTCCTGCTCATGGGTGATTCTGCATCCAGAGGATGCACTTGGCATGGCCAAGGGGAAAGAGCTGGATGTGGATGGGCAAAACAGAAGGTGCTTCCTCCAGCTAGGCTGGCTCTGCTCTTCCCAGTCTATGCAAAAAACAACTTCTGCCAGGAGAAAAACCTCTAATATAACTTCTATATGTTGCAACTGATGGTTAAAACCCTTGCAGAGCTCAGGCAGTGTCTTGCACTGGTTTTCTGGACATTAATACCCTCCTAGCCCATCAGTCCAGCCCTCTCAGCTTGGACCAGACACTGGGCAATACAGCTCTTGCCCACTCACCACATCTTGGTCATAAGCCCTCTCCTTCATGGGTTTTTGGGGTGCCTCATTTAGGCAAGCCTTTATCCCACAGCTCCAGCAGGACCATGCATTTGCTGCAGCTAGTGCCCACCCTCCCCATCCATGAGATGGATGCAAAAGGGAGTGCTGAGGTAGGAAGGACTCAATGAACTTCAAGTGATGCTTTATTGTGTCACAAGCATAAGTGATCCAAGTAGACAGAAAGCAGCCAGAGCCAAATTCTTATAAGCAATCCCCTCTGATTTTCTCATGGGTCCTACATTGAGACTCAATCCTTGTCTGGTCTACAGCGGTTGTGATTGTGGCTGATGAGATGAGCATCATTGGCCAGCTTGGCCAAGACAATGGTGAACTCCTCGAAACTCACGTCTCTATCATTATTTAAGTCTGTCTCTTCAAAGAGCTTCCTCAGGTAGTCGCTATTGTTCCTGTTCTGAAATTGGGGGACAGGACATATGTTAGCATGCCCCCTCCCTGGGCTGCACACCCACTGGTGGAAACCAAGCCAGTTTTATTCCTGCATGCCCTGGGAAGCGTTTAGAAGCTGCAGGATCATTGTGACCTTCTTCTACCTTGCAGTTAGCCCCTAGTTAAAACCCCAGATGAACAGCCTCCTGTTCCAAGCCCCTTTGGCGGCTCCATACCCCTGCAGTGGCAGGAGGGATGAGCATGGGTGGCCCCACAGCGCATGGACAAGCTGGGTCACAGAAACCCACTCTGTGGACCACAGCCATGGTGGGGGCTGCACCCCACTCTCTCAGGAGCATCCCTGGAGGCAACCTCAGCCTCATCCCACCACAACCCCCCAAGGAAAGCATCCCTCTGGGGAGCACAACACAGCTCCTGTGGCACTCACGCAAGCTTGCAGGAAGGTCGGTGCCTGCTCAGTCAGCATTGTCCTGAACTCCTTGAAGCTGAGGAAGTCAGCCTGGCCCTCCCGGATGCTGTAACGGTGGTAGACATCCACAACGGTTCTCAGGGCCATCTCCAGAGAGCAGTTTCCAGGGAACTGCCGAGTCTCAGGAAGGGTGGTTGTGGGGTGGGTGCTTGCAGACATGGCTGAGCTCTTGAGGTACCTGCAGAAACTGTGTGGAGAAACCTCAAAGCCATGAGATGCATGAAAAATCAGGCACCACACACCATGCTCTTGGCCTCCACCCCAGGCACCCCAAGGGGAGTTATCATAGAATCATAGAATCGTTTAGGTTGGAAAAGACCTTTAAGATCATCCAGTCCAACCATTAACCTACACTACCAAGTCTACTCTAAACCAATCAAGGCTAGACTAGACTAAACCATGTCCCCAGGTGCCACATCTACCCGTTTTTTGAACACTTCCAGGGATGGTGACTCCACCACCTCTCTGGGCAGCCTGTTCCAATTCTTGACCACCCTTTCCGTAAAGAAATTTTTCCTAATTTCCAACCTAAACCTCCCCTGGTGCAGGTTAAGCCCATTTCCTCTCGTCCTATCGCTAACTACTTGGGAGAAGAGACCAACACCCACCTCACTACAACCTCCTTTCAGGTAGTTGTAGAGAGCGATAAGGTCTCAGTTGTGCTGCACCTCCCCAGCGTAGCAGCAGATCTGCACCAGGAGCCCCGTCTCATCGGGGCTGAGCAAGCTAGCAGTGCCTGGTGTGCCCGGGGCGGTCGGCGGCTCCTTGGCACTGAGCAGATAGTAAGTGGTTTTAGGAATATCACCATTTTACAGCATTGCCCAACCGCCTCTAATTTTAGCTTTGCCCAGGAAGCAGCTTGTTCTTACTGACCTGGAGGCATTTGTCAGGCAAATTGGACAAAGCCAGCAGGCTGTAGTCGCATATCTGTACCGTGCCACTGACAGCAAGGGTGACTTCAAGGCAGGGAGCACAGTTCACGCACAGGTTCCACTGCAACCTCTGCCTGACCACCTCCTCCTCTCTCTGTGAATCTCCCTCTCCTCTTTGGGCTGCAAACCCTTTTCACCACAGACACTGAGCACAGAGACCCTGCTTTCTGATGGGTGCCACCATGCAAGTGACATCCCTGAAGGGCTATCTCCTTGCCAGCAGAAACAATTACACTTCCACTACAGATGGCACAGAAATGCCATTAATTTATACTTGTCTTGTTGAGGCAAAACCAGCCTCCTACCCTGGCCCAAGTAGAAAGCATCACCCTGGAATAAAACAGGCATGGCATGAAGCGGTATTCAAAATCACTTCTCCCTCATCTTATTTCCTGCAAGAACCATTGCAGTGTTACTTACCCTTGCCTCCAAGAAGGGTTTGCAGAGGATGGATCAGTTGTAGTGACCCAAGAGCCTGGGCAGCCCTTTTATACATGTCTGAGGTCCTCTTTCATCAGAGATAGTGACACACCTGCTGCAAGCAACAACTTGAGTTAGCATTTACCGTACCTGGAAATTGCAAGGTGGGAACTTCTGAACCCCTCCCCATCTCATACCTCTGCACGTAGTTCCTGGTTGCACCCACCGGGCTTTGGAAATGCTGTCCTTCGCCCCACCATCACCTCTGACAGGGCTGAGCTGCTTGTGTGCCGAGAAAGAATGGGAAAAACGCTGGATGTACCGTCACACCTCAACGTGAGGGTACAGGGCAAGTCCGTCTTGGCAGAACTTGCCGAAACTTTGCAAGTTTTGCAATGTGCTGAAAATCTTGTGTGCTCTCATGCTGGTGTAGAAAATGGGTTGTTTCAGAGAGTTGTGGATAACTTTGTTCCTTGGTTGTCTTTTAACTCAATCTCTGTTGTCTACAATGCTAACTGGTTGAATGCTAGCAAAGAGGAAGGCAACTTCTGCCTTTTAATAAATTGTTTTCCAGAGTATTTTCCATTGCTTTCTATTTTCACATCACTTGTACCAGACTTTCCTCTTGCTCCAGAAACTTTGTGGAGGAAACTGGGCATAAAACAAGAAAGAAATCTGAGGTCAGTCTTTACCGGCTGGAGGATTAACTAACAAATGTTTTGCAAGTCACCTCTGTGCCACCCATCTTGCGTTAGCAGAACAGGTACTAGAAGAATGAAGAGATTATAAAAAGATGTAAGAATAAGACAGTAGATTCCAGGAAGAGGGTAGGAGCAGAAAAACAAAAGGGTAACCATTCCTGTTTGAGGATGCTTCTTGCGTGTCCTGAGGGCGGTATCAAGAACTGTTGCATGAGTTTTATTCTGGTATCCCTGACTCACTTTATTGCTTTTCTTGTTTTCTTCCTCTGCTCATTAGGGACTGTCCCCCTCATTAGGGACTGTTGACAACCTGAAATTGCATCCTCATTCCCCAGCTGGCCTTGCAGACCATCAGCCAAGGCTGGTTTTTGCCCTGTGCACTTGCATAGACCTGTGGGCTCTGAATTCCCCTCTTTCCCAACTGTGTTCCCCAAAACCTGCGGGGAAGGCAGCCTGCGATGCCCAGCCCCCACAAGGGGAGTGATGCCCAAGTGACACCCAGGTGCCCTGGCAGGAGAGTGAATAACATCTGCCTCTGGGGGACAAGGGCTGCTCCCCAATGGCAAAATTGTGGAGCCAGAGAGCGATCACCTGTGTCATCGAGTGCAAATAACCATGCAATAACCCCATGCTTACTTTTGGGGCTCTGTTTCACATGGGACAAGCTTCTGGTTTCAGCTGATGTTGGAAATGCTGGAACCTCCTGAGCCTGAGGGTTTCCCACTCAGTGCACAGTCACTGGCAGATAGAGGAGTTCTTTTCTGCTCATGTATCTGCTCCCCAGGAGCCTGCAGT